AATCAACTAAAACCACTTTGCCTGATCACGAGATGAGGAAGTGATCCCTGAAACTAAACCGTACAGGTACACCTACCTCATCACTGCTGGAAGACCCATTGCCCGATTTGCCTTCATGCTTCTTGTCCTTTTTCTTTTTCTCCTTCTTCTTCTCACCATGTTCCTTGCTATGAGACTTGTCCTTATGCTTGTCCTTGTCCTTGTCCTTATGCTTGTCCTTGTCCTTACTTCCAGACTTGTCCTTGTCCTTACTTCCAGACTTGTCCTTGTCCTTGCTTCCAGACTTGTCTTTGCTGCCTTCCTAAAAATATACAAAGTTTACAATTAATAAATATTTTTTTATGTCGTGATTATTGTAGTTAATCAAAAGTAAGGAAATACAAGAAAAACAGGTTTACAAGAGGAGATGTCAATTCTCGTCACCGTGTTTATGCAACTCCCATCCGTAGCGCACATTTTGTTCTGGTAAGCGAATTAAAAGTCTTACCTTGCCCTTATCTTTGTTCTTGCCAAAGGGCCAACTGAGTTCATCTTTCTGTGCTTCCTCCTTCTTTATCATCTCCTCGTCCTTACCCGCAGCTGCCAATGACAAAGATGGGTCAGGGTTTTAAGGATCATCTGTCCACATATCGCAATATGGAGCGCAAAACCTGTTCGCACTCCAACAGAAGAGTGCAGCTAAAGAAAAAAAAATCACATAAAGCTGCGATAGATTTTTACCTTCTGACAGATCGAAACTCATTGTGACTGTTACTTATGCGCCTCTTCTCTCCGATTCCGAAACAGACTCTGTCAGCGAGCTCTCGCTGCTACTACTTTTCAGGAAATCTGGAGTGACCGACCGCACCTAAGTCACGTGATCAACACCGCACCACGCCCCGCAAACGCAGTTCGTTCTTGCGGTGAGATGAGTGGGAGACGTTGTGAGATAGTGTTATATTTCTTATTTATGCGTACTTGATACATAACCCTGCTCGCTGGCCTGTCCACCTGCTTCTCCCACATCAGCTGCGATAAGCTCCAGCCCTCCTACCATCCTGACCATGAACTTGATAAGCGGAAGAAAATGAATTGGATAGATGGATATGTAATATACCTTGTTTCTCTGTTTTTCGACAGAGGATCTTAGAAGAAGCTCCGTTTAATTTATGTGGGGTAAAACACCAGCTGTGTTCAAGCACAGCAAGCCACATGGGTGCTTTCTGACATGGTTCCAGTGTTTAGGATTCTTGTGAACACAGTATGCTTTCTACTGTTGGAAGTGTAAGATTGCTGGTTTGATTTAATTTCCGGTTGTTACAGCCTTTACTAGATCTCCTTAGTTTTCTAAGGAGCTTGGAAAGAAAAGTGTCTGGACTTCTTTAAGCTTCCTTGAAAATATTTCACTTCTCATCCGAGAAGCTTCTTCAGTTCTAAGAGCAATTGGGGGAGAGTCTCAGATTTGAAGCCCTGTGGGCTCTTAGAACTGAAGAAGCTTCTCGGATGAGAGGTGAAACGCCTTCAAGGAAACTTGTCTGGACGCTTTGCTTTCCATCTCCACGACGACCTGGATGACTGAGAACCATCACAGACATCTCCATAGTTTGTTTGTTTGGGTTTTTTTGTTTGTTTGTTTTGTGTGTGTGTGTGTGTGTGTGTGTGTGTGTGTGTGGGAGTGTGTGTGTGTGTGTGATTCTGTGTTTTGGGGGGCTCATAAATTCATCCTTACCCTAGTCTCCAGAGTTGTTGTTTACTTTTCCTGGGGCTGTGGATGCCTGTTTATGACTTACTGTTTAAGCAGTACTTGTGAATTATTTAGCTCTGGTTTTTATTACCTTGCAGCAGTAAAAGTGTGATAGGAGGGTGGTTGGTGTGGACACCTAAGTTTATGCATCTTGAGAACAAGGCGATTTTCTAATTGAAATGTGAATGTGTCTACTGGGAGGCTGAGAGGTAGACCTGGTGGTTTCCAGTATTTGTTTGAGGTTCCTTTTTCTCCTTTTTAGATCTTTGTGTTCCCCCTCTATGTCTTCCTTCTGTTTTATGTCTTTGTCTTCGAATGGCTCTCTGTCTTGTTCTTTATTTTATCGTGAGTTTTACTTTGCGTTACTTCCTGTTTTTACTTTTCTTTTACTTCCTGTCTGTCTCACCTGGATTTCCCTGATTGTTTTCACCAGCATGTGATTGCTTGCACCTGTGTCCTGGCCCATTTTGATATTTGACAGCAGTAAACACACACAAATACTGTTCCAGTCAGGTTGACCCATATCAACAAGGCCAATTCTAAATAACATTGTTTAAATATAAATAAAAACAGAATGAAGTGATTTGTAAATCTCATGAAATATACCATAAAAACATTTCAAATGTTTGAAATAAGATAATTCACCATTTTAAAGAAAATTTCAGCCCGTTTGAAATTTGATGGCATCACCACATCTCAAAAAGGCTACACTGCTGTGTAGCAGTGAACTGAGTCGTGATAACAAGCCGGATAGTCCCTCCTCTTTATTTCAAGGATGCAACAGTGTCCATGTTTTTCCAAATGACTTAAAAATTTGGATTATTCTGACTACAGAATAGTTTTCAACTCTTCCATGATCTTTTAAAGAAGAGGTAGATAATGTTCATATATGTTTTCTTCTTTGGATGATAGAGCTTTAACCTGCAATTGTGGATGGCACAGTGAACTGTGCTCACAGACAACGATTTCTGGAAGTGGTCCTGAGCCTGTGCAGTGATTTCCATGACCTGTAGTTATGTAAGATAAGATAAAACTTTATTAATCCCTCGGGTGGGTTCCTCTGGGAAATTCGGTTTCCAATAGCACAGCACCGACAGAAGTTACAGAAGATATATATACACATATATAAATACAGAGACATATATAAATAAAATATACGAAAGGGATAAATAGAATAAATATGAATAAGAATACAAGGGAATTGCACATTTCAAGTATGTGAGTCTATTTCACCGTTGACTATTAACAAAAAGTATTGCACAGTGAAGTGAAGAGGCACTACAGCTTAGTTGTTCCCCCCTGCTTTGTCCTCCTGTTACCCCTCCCTCTCCTTTTTATGCAGGTGCTCTGCAGTCCAGTTTGTTGTCCACCCACAGCCCGAGGTACTTGTACTTGTACTCCTTTCATCTTTTATAATTTGTATTTCCTGACAGCAGTTTAGAGTAGTTACATGTATAAAATATTTACATTGTAATTAACTGTAGATATAGAATTTACTGCTTATAATGAAAGCGGCCTCTAGTAGAAAGTGCTGATGCACCAACTAGTAATAATAACAGCAAACACAAACCACAAACATGAATTCATGCTCTTTTATTTCTCAAACCTTCAACATGTTGTGATCATAAATTGACATTTCCTCCACCAATTGACAAGTTTACAACTGTCAATTGTAAACTTGTCAATTTTAAAAACACATATCTTTTCTCTCTAATCAAGCAGTGTGTTTATTTTGTAAGATTTACTGATCCTCCAATGAAACCATGACCCAAGGTAACATCATTAAAGCATTCATGATTACATTTAAGTGCTTCCAGTGTGATGCAGGCCAGATTTTGGCTGATGACTAAGATCTATGACATCTTAACATTGGTAAGGTCTGGGCCCTGACAGCAGATCCTTTGAGGTGAGGTAACTAGTGGAGTGTGTCGTGCTGTCTCCAGTCTTCTTCGGGGTGCCCATCAGGCTCTCCATGTAGCTGGGACGTTTGATTACAAGGGATGGCTTGGTGGCAGCTGAAGAACTGACAGGATGCAGCTTCAAGGCAGGAGATGTAAGAGACACATTGGGAGTATCACATGGCTTGGAGCTGGCAGAAGGTCCACCACCACCTGAGGCTGAAACGCTGGTTTTAGGGTGGCTGCTTTGCTCACCATCAGGGTGGTCCTGGAAATGAACATTAACAATCCATTTTGAACATTTTTAGATTAAAAGCTTTTTTTGTTGTTTCTATTGATTTCACTTCCCAAGGAGCCAAAACTTTGGTAAAAAAGAATAACACTAAAATTATTATTCGTCATTTTTCTTTCATATATGATATTAGCATGTTACAAGTCATTTTACCTGTTCCTCCCTTTTCTCACTCTCCTCCTTTTTATTTTCCTTGTCGCTGTCACTACCAGAGGAACCTGAACTGGAGCTTGAGTCCTGCTCAGAAAGGAAGAGGAAGAAACTCATCAACTCACAAACATGATTACCAAAATGAGCAGAGACACATTTTTTCCCATCACACAGGATAAAACTACCTTCTTTTTGTCTTTCTTCTTCTTGTCTTTCTTCTTCTTGTCTTTCTTCTTCTTTTTCTTCTTCTTGTCATCATCACTGCTGGAAGAAGAACCCGAAGAGGAACTGGAATCCTGGGATGTAAATATGATAGTGAGGTTACACAATCATAAGACGGATAGGAACCAGAGTTTTGAAAATACACAAAGGAGGAGGAGGCAGTGAGTCCACTCTTCTTTACCTTTTTCTTGTCTTTCTTCTTCTTTTTCTTCTTATCCTTCTTCTTCTTTTTCTTCTTATCATCATCACTAGAAGAATCACTCGAGGAGCTTGATGAAGAAGAAGAATCCTGGACAAAAACAAGGAACATATTTCATTTAGAAGAATTACAGTAGCTTATAAATAAATAAAGTCAACCTAAAACCTTAAAGTGGATGGCCCCTCACCTTCTTTTTCTTCTTCTTCTTCTTGTCCTTCTTCTTCTTCTTCTTCTTCTTCTTTTTCTAAATATGAAAAAGAAGACTCAATTTAAATTGTGCAATCTTCTATCTTTCATCATTTTGAGTGCGTCAAATGTATTTGCAAAGACGAAAATGGCGATATTTGTAGATGTTCTTCTCACCTTGTCATCATCACTATCGGAGGAAGAAGAGGAGCTATCATCAGAAGAGCTAGAATCCTAGAAAGTGCATCAGTCAGTCAGTAACAGAAATACACGATTTTCTGTAAAATATATATTTAGACTTTTTCTAACCACCTTCTTCTTCTTCTTCTTCTTCTTCTTCTTCTTCTTTTTCTTCTTCTTTTTCTTCTTTTCATCTTCACTATCAGAGGAAGAAGAAGAGGAGCTGGAATCCTGTAAAAGAGTTGAACAATTACAAGTTTAATTGTTTATTAGTAGTAGTAGTGTTATTAGAGTTCTGTATGGGTAGCTGACAATCTTTTACCTTTTTCTTTTTCATTTTCTTCTTTTTGTCCTTCTCTTCCCCTCCTTCTCCTTCATCATCACTCAGGTTGCCATCTCCAGGTACTGCCTCTACTTCCCCCGCTAGACAGGAAACATCATTGCCATCGATACCATTGCCAATGCCATCAATGCTATTTGATCTATGTAAGAGCTAGAGAGGCATACATACCAGCCAATGTAGAGGAGACTTTGCAATCGTCTGAAGTTTGAAGCTGTCATGGGAAAGGGAAGTAATTATTATATTTTTTTCTTCCTGTCATGCCTTTCTATATAAAACCAGGAGTGGTCACCATGATGTGACCACTCCTGTTTGGCTCCCTAAAGCACTGAGTCAGCTGTAAACATTTAATTTTTCTCAACATGGGGAGAAACCAAGGATACTGAAAACTCCTTTGGAATCATCTTTTCAATGAAGCAACAAACTCCAGAGCAAGAAAAAGTAAACAAAAAAAACTGTAGGTCTTCTGTTAGCCACTTGAGGCTGATCCCAAAAACCTGTCGGCTCCATTAATCTCTCTCAAGCTTTTGTCTCTTGTGCACAGTCATCTTTAGCTATCCCGGTACTTCTTATCTAGGCTAGCAACTTGACAGCCACACAGTAAATTTGCACTGAACCATACTCAGCTTTATCATCTTTTCCAACAGGGCAATCATAATATATAAAAGGAACATCATGCTGTGCTTACTTAAACCTGAAACTGGCAACCGAGAAAAATTATCGAGAATAAGTTTGCATCGGCTTCATTTTTTTAGAGCCAGGAGCTGTCGCCCTTTTGTTTGCACGTATTGAGTTTGTGCATGCAGGTGTAGTGTGAAAACGAATGTGTGAGCAAATATTTCACCTTGCCAGGAACCTTTTCATCTGGTCCTGGAATCACACCACCTACAAAAATGGAGAAAAGACGACCAAAAGGATCAACATAATGTAAATGTTTGGCTTCTGTGATTTATATTACTGTGCACAAGAGCAAGTAGAAAACACTCACCTGCTGCTGACAGAACAATATCACTCTGCTCTTCATCCTGAAAGAAGACACAGAAGCACACGCACACAGTTAAGCTAAAAAAATAAACTTCCTAAATAAATGATAAAAGCTGAGTTGTTAGGAATCATTTCCTGATAGTGAAAAGCACTGAGAGGGTAAATGTGTTCACTGTGGGCGGGTTACCACAGAGCAACAGGACTGATGCTTTTATTAAACACAAACACAAGTTACTTTACTTTTTTCTCATCGTCCTCCTTCTTCTTGTCCTTTTTCTTTTTCTCCTTGTCACTGTCAGAAGATGAGGATGAAGAGCTGGAATCCTGTATTACGGAAAAGAAACATAATTCATCTTGTTGTTTAAATAAAGAAATGAAACCCTATGGTAAGGTTTCTTCTTCATTGTTCATGCCTGGATACTGACTGTATATTTTGTAACGTCATATGAATGTAAGAGGACAACAAACATCCACATCTGTTTTACCTTTTTCTTGTCCTTCTTTTTCTTCTTCTTCTTGTCCTTTTTCTTCTTCTTCTTTTTCTTCTTCTCATCCTCACTATCAGAAGAAGAAGAAGAAGAGGAGGAGCTATTTGAGCTGCAGTCCTGTGGAAAAATGAATGTATTTAAAACAAAATATCATCGATGAACTGTGATACAGAAATAGAGAAATTAGTCAGTTGAAAATTAAGAACTTCAGGCATTACCTTCTTCTTTTTCTTCTTCTTGTCCTTTTTCTTCTTCTTCTTTTTCTTCTTGTCATCCTCGCTGTCAGAAGAAGATGAAGAAGAGGAGCTATCTGAGCTGGAGTCCTGTGGAAAAACAAATGTATTTAAAACAAAAAAGTCTTAATGAACTTTTAAACACAAGTGAAATAGAAAGATTAGTCACTTGAAAATTAAGACGCTTGGACAATACCTTCTTCTTTTTCTTTTTCTTGTCCTTGTCCTTTTTCTTCTTCTTCTTTTTCATCTTGTCATCCTCGCTGTCAGAAGAGGATGAAGAAGAAGAGCTATCAGAAGACGAGGAGCTGGAGTCCTGTGAAAGGAAAAAAATATAGTTAACACGCAAAAATCTCTTTAATTAATGGGTTTTAACACAGAAGTAAAATACATTATTCACTTGAAAATTAAGAAACACGGGGAATACCTTCTTCTTTTTCTTCTTCTTCTTCTTGTCTTTTTTCTTCTTCTTCTTCTTCTTCTTGTCATCCTCGCTATCAGAAGAAGAGGAGCTGGAGTCCTGTGAGAAAGGAATAAAAAGTATTCACATAAAATCTATTTCTGTCTGCACATTAACGCAGACACATCAGGCAGACAGACACATCATAGTGATGTTCATACCTTCTTCTTTTTCTTCTTCTTCTTCTTCTTCTTGTCATCTTCACTGTCAGAAGATGAAGAAGAGCTATCTGAAGAAGAGCTGGATTGCTGTGAGAAAGGAATAAAAAGTATTAATTATAAATCATTCTCTGTCTTTTTCCTCAGAGTTACATACATGTGGTGACAATGGTGAGTTTCACACCTTCTTCTTTTTCTTCTTCTTTTCGTCCTCACTGTCAGATGATGAGGAAGAAGATTCCTAGGACAGAGGACATATAATAAATATTCATTAACATAGTCTACCATATATTTATCCTTTGTCTCTGTCATTTGTCATTTATGGTATGTTGAAATTTGATAGTCTTATTAAACAATTTGCCAGTTTTGGAGGGGAAATTAAACCCACTTTCTTCTTCTTTTCCTTCTTCTTCTTCTTTTCCTTCTTCTTGTCATCCTCGTCATCTGATGAGCTAAAATCCTGAGACAAATTAAAAAAAAATTACAATTATAAGTTTGGAATGTTTTGATGTATTGTGCTCTGTTTTTTCACACAACTGAGTGGATTGATGGATCGGTACACAGGACCTCTATGACTGATTCAAATTGAGAATTTCTCTGCTAAACATGTACGGCATGTAAATTATGGTATGCAATACATTTCTCATGAATCTGATGAAATCCTGATGAAAAAACATGTTGGTCGATTAATAAAGCTGCTCTTTATACCACAGGTGTTACTGGAGCGTTGACCTCTTTAGCAATGCAATGTATAAAATTACAGACTTGAGTTGTTTCTCACCTGACCAAGATCGTCTGCATGTTTTATTTGGCCATTGGAACCTGGTAAGATTGAATGCAACAAAATGCAATGCATTAGTTTAATCATTCTGGAAACAAAAAGACATATTGTTATGTAAACAGCTGGTCTACTATGATCACAGAATGTGGTGTTGCAGGATAGTTTAGGACATGTTGTTATAAAGGGGATCTAGACACAGCCCCCATTCTGGCTTTGTGAGCTGACCTCAGCACTACTCCACGAACCCAATGAATGTTCAGTATCTGTTTGTGAACGGCAAATTAAACAAACTACCCGTTTGATTTAATTGAAATTTCAGGCTCATCGAGGGGACGCTGCAAAGCAGAAATCAAGAACAAACTGTCATCGTGAAATAGCGTAGATCACCTACCAGCCTGAGATATGACGACACTGTCGTGGATATACTCTTTCTCCTTGTCTTTTTTCTTCTTCTTTTCCTTCTCCTTTTTCTTCTTCTTCTTCTTCTTTTCATCCTGCCAGGAAACATTGAACAGCAGTTGTTTCGTAAATGCATTTTTATTTCGCGTGTATTCATGCAGTGTTGCATTTGTATTCATAAAAAAGACTCGGGAGAAGGATTCAAAATCAGACGTCAAAACCAACTCACAGTATGCACATCCATGCATAACCATGCATGAGCAGTGATGCATGGAAGCATGCACACAACTGATATGTTATTGTATTCTCATGATAAGACACATAACTTTCTCAGACACAACTTATCGGCAGCTGAGATGAGATCCAAAAATATTATTGTTAATGGGCGTGTTCCTCTCACATAGTTTGTCATTTCAGATCAGGACATTGAAGTCTATCGCCTGTTGAGAAATCATTTCTGCTGCTCTGTATACTTATTTTTGGGACCTTCTACTTCAGTAAGTTAAATAAAGTCACAATAAAGCTCATCAGTTGTTAAGTCCTATCAGAGGTGACCCAGTTAACTGGTTGTTGCTTTGAAATGTTCATGTTTGTGTCTTTGACCTTTGTCTTTTTATCTTAAAATCATGCAATAGCAAAATAACTGGCTTTTCCTGAGTCTCCTGACTTTACACCCACATCATGTCATCATATGACTGCAGTCATCTAAAAGTTGCAAAATTGGAAAACTAGACAAAACTGGAATTGTGAGTCAGTGTGTGCTCCTTGAGTTATTTTAAGAGCTGAAATTGACAAGAGCAGGGAGAAGACTGGCGTGCTTATCTATTAGTTTGCTGAGAGACAGGATAAAAATGCAGTTTTTAGATTCAATCCACCCTAAATATTCACTGAACAGACAGCATTTTTTGACAGTATCCTCACCTGAGGCAGATACATAATTAAACGGGACAATCAATCCCATGTGAGCCGATTTGAAATTGTGCTTCCAGCCAAGGACTTTGTATAGCTGCTTTTCGTAAGGATTTGCATAAACAAAACTGCAAAACTCTCTAAGTGTTTGGAAGGGTATTCACATTCCTAAGCAAACATCAAGATGGCCAGAATTAATGACTGCAAGCAATGTTGTCATGACTAAGTCATGTAATGGCAGCACCTGGTAAATGACAGTTTAGAGCAGGCAAGCAGCTGCAAGGGAGTCATGTTTTTCTACTTGGTAATAAGCACATACAGAAGCTACATGTGAGCAAGAAAACCCTGGCTTCTCCTAAAACCAGAATCTATTAATAAAGGTGAAAATTCTAATGAAAACAGACCAGTCACATGATCACAGAAATTACACACTTATTCAGATTTATTACATTAGAATTGAAGCCTCTAGATCAGCCATCAATCATTACAACTTACTTCTGTCGAGGGTCTGCTGTTGTGTTTGACTTTGTGTCTCATGTGTCAACATACTGAGAACAAAAGCGCTCTGGACAGCCCTCACAAAACTCTTTTGGATGCCTGACTTTAGCAGGAGCTTTTAAAAAAGGCTCTCAAAGACCCATCACAGGATCTGTGGTTAGGTGTAAATGTGTGTGTCATGCATGTGGGTGTGCGGGTAAAACTGCTTTGTCACTTTATCAGCAAAACTACAATTTACCAATAAACACAAAGTGCTCTGCACGGATGCATCAGCAACATTTTGGTGCACACTTTTGCTCACACTGACTAGTTAAAAATGCCCCAGTGTTACAAGTGGTGTGTGACAAACTGTGACCTCCATATCAAATAGTGGTTGGAAATAACACGAGGCATTCAGTCTGAAAGTTGAAGTGGCTGTTTGAGAAGGGTTTTTCTTCCATGGCTCCACATGTAAAGATCGCATTTATTTAGATTTTTGTTGAACAAATAATTTTCGTCTTGAAACCCTGATCAGCACATGTCAATCTGCAACTTACCTCACTATCACTGTCTGAGGAGCTACTGGAGGAAGATGAAGAAGATGATGATGAGGAGGAGCTGGAGCTCTGTTAAGGAAGACGGAGAATATTAGTGCTTAATTTTACGTACAGAAGTTTATGTAAACAATCTTTTGTTTATGAAACGATACATGAGAAGGAATGAGCCATGGCCAACACGCCCCAGTGAGTTTCTGTCATACGAAGGCGAGTTGTGTCTGTGACTGCATATGGGAGAGGCCCTTCAGGCACTTGGCAACACACATAAAGAAAAATTCCACAAACAAGCACACATGCACACACACCTATCCCTGCTATGTCATTAACCACTTGTGCAAAAAGCGACAGTTGAGCCACACATGGAACAAACGATTCTCTCCTGTTTGGCTGTACTCCACTCCTCTGTAAGAAGCTGTAACTCATCATTTCAGCACCACATGTGCTCCCGTCAGGACAAATCCTTAAGAAAACTGCTGAGTTAACTTAGCAGATACCAGAAAATATTTACAAACCAAAAATTCCAAATACAATCAATACCGTTTTCATCGGCAGTTCACTTTACTGAACTCTGTCACACTTACTTTCTTCTTCTTCTTTTTCACTTTCTTTTTCTTCTTTTCTTTCTTGCCGATACCCTCATCCTCGCTGTCTGGAGAGCTGTCAAGTGAATACATCTCCTGGTAAACACAAGAGAAGTAGATGTGTTATCTTCAGTGGGGAAATTGAGCCTGTGAACAGAGCTGCTTTAATTGCTTCACTATCATTAGATAATGGAGAAGTCACAACGTGTGTGCTTTGTTTCTCCTGTTCACCTCATCTCCTGTTCCTGCAGGTTTCCCGATCTGAGTCTTGTCTCCCTGCGTCTTGGCCAGCTCCGCAGGCCCTTCTACTTCAGCCGGGGGCTGCGAACCGCCAGAGGGCACCGCTGCAGGCTGGACACCTGCAGTGTCTCCTCCACCTGCAGTTAAACAATTCAGGTGAGCAGTGTTGCAAATATCTGCCTGAAAGACATCAATTTTTCTGAACGCTCAACTAATGAGTAATCTGTATATACGAACTTTATTGAGGATCATCTGTCTTATCAGCCTATTTTTAACATGCACTTTTAATAAAATATTAAAATAAATAAAAAACACATATGACAGCATCATATGCCTGGACTTCCTTGTTATCCAACTTTCTTAAAAGGACAGCCAGGTTAAAACAAAGAAATTAAAAATCAGTCATCAACACTAAAGCTGTGCCTGCATATACTTTATATTTGGCTATAAATCAGTGAATACTCTAATAATTAACAATTTGGGGAAGTGCCACACCCCTGACAGCAGAAGGAAGGTTTAAAAAGAGCCTGCTGTCTACAAATATGAAGGGGTAGGAGTGCATCAGCTGCAATCTCCCTGCAGTGGTTATTCTGCACATTAAAAAAGGCATTATCCAAAAATAAATACATTTAATCCACACTTTTCAAACTGTAAAAGAAAAAAAGAAACAAGCCAGTTAACAAATAGCAAACCTTTGAGGAGGGTGGACTCCATTTCGGTCCAGTTCTCTCCTCTGTCCAGGAGTCCAGGTCTCATCTGACAAAGCCACCTGATCACATTTATAACAAGGTGTGGGTGTGTGGAGCCCTGGGGTGGAGAAACTGGGAGGGCCAAAAGCAGAAACTTCCCCGCATCAGTTTCAAAATAAAGGTCACTATAAAAGAAAGTCACCAATCAGTTCTGACTGTTATCTTTTATTGTACCCACCACTTATTTTTCACCACGAAAAGTTCACGGTTGTCTTTTAAGAGGATAGCTGATTATCTGATCTAATTGTCTAAATTGTATTTATTTGCCTCAGTCTTATTCAGAAAGCTGCTTACATGCATTGTATTTGACTGTCACCATCTGTTTGTGTTATGAGACTTACATAGCTTGAAAGGCTGGTTTACCTGTGCAAACAGGTGGTGCAAGTTTTATGACTGGACTGTAACCTGTGTGCATTATCTGCATGAATTAAAAAATTTGGAAAGTGTTGCAGAAGGAGGATTGCCATTGCTCTAGCAGGTCAAAGCAGGGAATTATCAAAAAAAAAAAAAAAAAACTATCCATGATTCCAAAATGTAGGAATAGGTTTAGGGGAATAAAGCTCTTTGCCTTTAATGTGGAGCATTAAAGGAAAAAAATAGAAAGAGAGAGAGAGGTGATTTAATCATGTTGCTGCTATGTCGCCTCCTAGTGGAGGATCATGGTTAACTTAAAACCACAACATTCTGCTAAGCAGGGGTGTTCCTGGGCCACATACAATCTTTTTGATCTGGAGTGAGAAAAATAAAAATGAACTGAGAAATATTATTTAAAAAGGAAGGATTTGTGTTATCAAAATTTTATTAAAGTGCAACAAAGTGCATTCTGAAGATGTTTAAATGCTTAGAAAAACTAAAACCATGAGTCCAAATGCAATTTGCCCCATTAAAATTTTTGCCAAATGCTAGAATGCAGTAAAATGCAATAGTGCTTTCCGAAAGTCTTTCAAAGGTTTTTTCCCACCCATTTTCAGTCCAGTCCTTGTACAGACCGTTTTTAGAAGTTTCTTTTTAAACCCACTTAATGCTGAGCTGTGAATTATTCAAGCATAAAAAATGTACCTAAGCATTTAATGCCCTTCAAGAGGCCCAGAGAAGAATAGGCAATGTAAGAAATGACAAGAAAGCTTGGCTAAGAGAGTTCAGGCTGTTGTAAAGAATAAAAGTGTTCATCTCAAATATTGACTTTCATATATGTTATTATCATACAAAGTCTTTTTGCCTTATATACTTTTTTCCATGCATATTTGCACATCTTCAATAAACCAATAAAGTGAGACGTGGCTCAGAGGACTGTAAGGACTTTACTGCATTTTTCACACTTTGCAGTTAGTCAGCGGGACAACACAGGCCCTTTCACGGGTCCCCGAGCCGCGTGTTTGATACCTCTGAATCTGTTTCTTCGTCGCTTCCGTAGCACAACTGGTCAGTGAAGTTAGCTAAAAAGGCTACAGGCTTGAGATCCGGAAATGGGGGCTTAAATAAGAGCGAAATGAAGTCCCACAATACCACTTGAAGATTAAAAAATAATAATCAAAATACATTTTAAATATATATTTTTTAAAAATTCCTCTTGAATACAACTAATATGGGGAAAGAGAAGCAACTTTAGGTAAGGTCAACGGAAGACAGCAGGTTTATTTTGAAATTTATCCGGAAGAAGTTACAGCGTGTAGCTGTACCTTAGGTTGTATACCAAACTCTGGCGAAGGCGAAGGCTTTCTTTTATTTACGTTTTTTTGTGTTTTAAATCACGAGTTTGTCAGTCTAGTTTAACTTCATGATGTAGAGGAGCTAGCTAACGCTCGTTTGCTAGCGGAAAGCCGGCACAGAGGGACGGTTACTTTGTTGACCCTCATCGGCACGTCTCACCGCTCTTTGGTCATGTTTCTGTACCAAACACATTTTGTGTTTTGGGGCATTTTAAAGGGTCACTTCTTCGGCCACTCTGTACGTGGAGGACCTACGGTGCGCTATGACTTCTAGCTAAACTCAACTGACTGGTCGTCGTCATGCCGAGGTCAGCGACGTCCGCTCCGCTGATGGTGACTGTGCTGGCAGTGCTGTGGGTCAGTGTGGGTCGGTGCTATGTCTTCGGATCTCTGGGGCAAGGATGTGATAATGGAAAGGTAACAGTTTCACTACCTGTGTGTGTCTGCTGGTGTAAATGACATCCATGTTTTAAGTCATGTGGTTTATAACCTAGTATTGGTGATTAAAATTCACTTATTTTACGTGTGTGTGTGTGTGTGATAGCTCTCTTTAGACAGGGACCTGCCTGCGGATGCTGTTTATTGGGACTGTGCTGCGTCTGCATGGCCAGAGTTTACTCAGGTAAACATGGAAATTCATACACTTTAGTCTAACAAATTACCACCATAATAATCCCATAATCATATGGGAGGGGTGTGGTGCAGTTACACCGGTTGCCAGGAAATGCAAACAATCATATGAATGAGACTGTTGTGATAAACCCTGCACACACAGCAAATGAGCTGTTAGAGCTGCTCGACCCGCTTTGAATCACCTTGTGGCTTCACTGTTACATATGTAACAGTGTGAAGTTAGTTGTTGGGGTTGCTTTGTTCCCAGATTACAAGTGTTCCTTCTAATTCCACTTTTCAGAGACTCCCGAGTATTGACACAGCGTACAATCCTGAGGTGAGTAAACACCAGGCAGTTTACTTAAGAATCTCATATCTGGACTTTTTACGCAACCTTTGGCCCTCTAAACATAAAGCATGACTTGGTTATCTCCTAAAATCAAAGTGCAACTGGATAACACTCCAAACAAGTCCCATTCATAGTTCACTAAATTTGAAACCCATTCATTCTTTTATTTTCTTAACCATTTTTTCCTCATGTACTGTCCTGAGGGAGCTGGAGCCTCTCGCAGCTGACATTTGAAACCAGTACATGTATTAGCTCAAAGGCTTTACCAAGCAAGTGTGTTAGTTGCAACAAGATTCAGTTTGAGTTAACCAAACCAGCTTTTTTTCTTAGTAAAAGTAATTTGTGTGAAATTTACTAGACGCAAACTAAGTGTTTGTCTTGTGTGCTTGATGTTTTCACTTCAGCCTGCTAGGCAAATATGCATGGATAAATCTATCTCCTACTATCAACGCATTCCCAACAGGTGAGTGTAAAGGTTTGTGAGTAAGTTCATTAGAGCTGCAGAATGCCTTACTGGACGGCCATACAATTAGTTCTGTTTTTACAAAGAGCTGACAGATACACAAGCTTAGTATTGTCACAAAAAGCATTGTTTTACTACATTAAAGTGAGCAACACACTGGCCACTTTATGAGGTACACATTGGTAATACCGAGTTTGACCCCTTTTGGCTTCAGATCTACCTTAATTCTCTAGAATGGTGGAGATTCAACAAGGTGCTGCACACGTTCCTCAGTATTTGGTTCATATAGACATGATAGCATCACACAGTTGCTATAGATTTTTCAACTGAACATCGGTGTGTTGGCTCTCTTGTTCCACCACTGTATTTTTTTCATCTTTAGGCATGAAAAGATTAATAAAAATATTTAAGAAAAAAATCCTGATTGAGGTTGTCATAATTCATGCATGACAGGG